CACATTTTACAAAGGTTGTTCCAAAACGCAGCATTTATTTCTGGTTTTTGACAAAACTGCACCCATAAGGAATCATTAGTTTGCCTAACAATCATGGCATTCACTTAATTACCATTGCAAAAAAGATCATAAACTCAGGTTGGTTGTGCGATTGACAAATTTTACTACTGTTATGAGTTACAGTGGTGATGGGCAGGTTCCACTGTACTCATAACTCATAACTCAGGGGCTACCTATATTTCAGATCCCTATTGAATGTCTTTCTTAATTACACCTAAGTTGATCTCTATACACTAACCTTTAAAAGACATGCTGAAGTTTAACTAATTCTTTAGTTTAATTACTTTTGTTCTCAGAAATCTTGGCAAAATATATTGGTGGGAGCTAGGACTCTAGGATTAAATCAGATCAAGTTGACCCAGAAAAATCACAGTGTTTAATGGTCAGAGGTATTCTTGATTTATTAAATACTGATACTACACAGAAAAAATTCTAGATGGGAGATTCACAAAAATATCTCCAGCTACAACTGCTGGTTCCTGAAAGATAAAATGTTGGTGGCGAGGAAGAGAATCCAGGATGCAGCTTAGCTGGTTCAAAAGAGAAATTCTCAGGCTGAAGCAGGCCTAAAAGTTGATTTAATAAAGGCAAACACCATATGGTAGATTATTGACCTGTTTCTAATAGTCTTCTAAAAGATGAGTTGAATGTTGAAAGCTGTACTGGGAGGCAAAAATAGAATTGAAGGGGACAAAAACCAGAGGCCAAAATCTGGGTACTGGGAAATGCTGGTTTTACTCAGGAACATGATATTTTTGAATGAAAGTCATAGCATGTGGAAAGCAATGTTTATTCTTTCGCTGATGATATTGTTTCCTCTCTTTCTCTTTCTCTCTCTCTCTCTCTCTCTCTCTCTCTCTCTCTCTCTCTCTCTCTCTGTGTGTGTGTGTGTGTGTGTGTGTGTGTGTGTGTGTGTGTGTGCCAATTACATTGCTCTTTTCTTTGGCCAAAGAAGACAGAATTCTGTTTTTGTATGATTCAGAATTGTCTGCAGAGTGCTGTGAAACATTCAAAATGGCATCCGTGATGGTTGTCTATTTTGTGAGCCATTGAAATCCAATTATAGTAGAGCCAATTGGGCCTACAAGGTGAATCACGCAGTCACAAAAGAGCAGTAACCCAATACCACAGATTGTTTTTAATGAGAAAGCTTGTTAGATACTGAAGAGAAAATTTGATTTTAAGATTCTTGAAAGGAGGTCGTGGTGACAAAAATAAGGGCATGTCCTCTTTTCGCCAGACATCCGATAACCCTCACCTTGCCTGACCTTGAAAGTGCTAAGCAAGATCCAATAACAGCATTTAGGATTTGGATGGGAAACCATCAGATGCCAAAGCTGTTCACTAGATTGAGAAGTAAAAAGCTTTTTAATCATCACTATGAGATGCTGTATAAATAGTTTTAAGTCAATCAATCTTCAGGAGTAAAGTCTGATTTGAGGACACCTTTGTATTTTTATGGTGCTTTTAGTTTTTTTTTAATATTACTATTCAGGAATAACTTTTCAAAGCAATAAGTCTAGCAGTGACATTTGAAAACAATGATAAATTTTCTTAATTTCTTTCAAGAAAATGACATGATACAAATCTAATTATTATTATGCATCATCATTTCCCTTACTTAACTTTGAAAAGAAAGGGAAATATCTGATATTCTAGAAGTATTTTACACTAATTTTGGTAAAATCTTAAACCGGGATCATCACTATTGATTTGTTTGGATTCAAGAAGTTCATGTATTTAATATGATTCCCACCCACTGCAGTTTCCATGAGATAGCATATAAATCTTGCAATGTGTGATAATATTATTTTGATTTTAATGATGAGATGATGATGATGATGATGATGATGATAACAGAAGTATTCATTTTGTGTTTGAATCCAAAGCCTACATGGTCCTAATTTGGTTTGAGAAAGTATTTGATTCTCATTCTCATTACTTATTTATTCCAGGTAATCCAGAAACCTGTACATCATGTATCCATAATTATTATATGTAAGTTTATCATTCTTATTTCTTTCTTTATTGGTGATTCATTTTCTTTTCTAAATGAAAGCAGGGCTTTCCATTACAGCAGATGGAGCTAGGCCAGCTTTCCCTAACTGAATGTCCTTCAGACATGTTAACAGATTTTGGAGATGTCAGAGCTAAACTCCCGCACATCAGGAAGGCGCCACTTGGGGAAGGCTGTTCAAGTGCCTATAAATGGTTTTTGAATATTTAAGCACAGAAAAGAGATTCTGTTGTAACTCATAGGAAAATGTTTCTGTTGCATGTGTTTATTTACTCATTCCTTTTATATAACTGCCTGTCTCATGTATGTGACTCTAGGTCAGGGGTGTCAAACTCAATTTAATTGAGGACCGCATTTGGGGTTGTATGTGACCTTGGGGTGGGGGTGGGGACGTGGCCAGGGGCATGGCCAGCTCAACATCACTCATGTCGGCGGTACCCATGATGGCCAAGTGCTAATGCAGGACTTTCCTCAGACCTTCCCTCCCTCTCATTATAATCTTTTTTTCCTTCCTACCTTCCTTCCTTTCTTCCTTCTATGCATCCATTCCTCCATCCTCTCTTCTTTTTCCTTTCCTCTTCATTCTCCTTTCTTTTTCCTTCCCCCCTTTCCTTATTTTTCCTTGCTTGCTTTCTTCCCATCTTTTTCTTTTCTCTTTCCCATTTTCCTTTCCTGTCACTTCTTGGATGCTCCAATGCAAAAAAAGGGAAACATTTCTCTTTTTCTTTGGTTTTGCTTTTAGTTTGTTTTGCTAGCCCTCTGTCAGTGCAAACGGAGCCTGGAGGGCTATGTGCATCCCCCCCAGGCCCTGTTTTTAGTGACACCTCCTGCAGCCCTCTACCAGCAAAAAAGGCTCCCCCAGGCTTTCTGCAGCCCTCGGCCAGCTAAAACAGAGCTCAGGGAGGCTGCATGCAGTCCTCCTAAGCTCTGTTTTCACTGGCAGAGGCACCCTGGGCCAGTCCTTTGCTGTTTCCAGGATGGTCTTGCGNGCATATAAATATATTTAATAAATAAATAAAAATAAATAAAATAAATAGCATTTCAGAAACAGGATCAAACGTCTGTGCTGAAATCTGAGGAAGCAATGCAACTAGGAGTTGTTGCCATGTGCTCCAAAGCAGTTTATAAAATTTTGAATCCAAAGTGTGGTGCTCCCTTTGTGTGTGTTGTGTGCGTGCATTCACATGTGCCTTTTCTGAAGAAAATGAAGCTCTGATTCCATTGTCCAATATCCAGGGGAAATCAAAGGTCTCGATTTGGAAGATTGCATTCCTTGCCCTGAAGGCTGCCTCAACTGCAACTCGGGTATGTTGCATTTTAAAAATTTGGTTCACTCCTTTTTCTTTCTGTCTATTTAGGGTGGTATTATCTCAGCAATTTTTTTTTGTGGGGGGGGGGAATCTGAGGGATTGCTTTAGTGCAGGGGTGGGGAACCATGGCCCTTTGACGATCTGTAAACTTCAACTCCCAGAATTCCTGAGACAGCATGGCTGAGAAATTCTGGAACGTGAAGTTCACAGATCGTCAAAGGGCCATGGGGGGAAGGGGGGTGCAATACTCTTGGGATTCTCCTGTTAAACAGTACAGAAAGGGAAGTTATTAAATCCACGAAGAGTAATTCTATTTTGTTCTTGATGTTTTTAAAATCTTGGGCTCTGCCTACTTCCTGAGTATAACGGCAATATCTCTGTGAAGACCAGTGGGGTTTTTCAGAGAAAAATCTTGAACTAAATGCTGTGAGTCTGTTCCACTACAGCCTTCCAGAACAGCTGTTTTAAATTAATCAAAATCCTTCAAACTATTTGATTGCAGATAATTTACATCACGAATTTTGTCTTCCTTAGTTATGTTTGCACTTTTTCTATGTTTTAAAACATTAAAGAAGATGTATTACATTGCAGTGAACAATTATAAATTCTACTGCAAGACAAGCTGAATGCTTGATGTTTTACTATCTTAAAATATATTAGTGGTATATTTGTTTCCATGACAAAAAAGAATACTCCCCATGCTTCATATGTTTTGTATTAGTTTTAATAGTTGTCAGCTAAATAATGCTTAGAGGAAAGAAGAGATTAAATGTTTAAACTTGGATGGTTGGCAACACAGCCTTTAGTCGAATTGCAGTATGATTACTGGAGGTTCTCAAGTTATGACTGGTTGCTTAGTGACCATTTGAAGTTCTGAAGGATCGACCTGGGGAGAACTTATGATTCAGATTTGAAGTTGGCAATGGGTTGCATTAACAACCATTTGCAGTGTTCCCCAGTCATCTGGCCACATTTTACAAAGTCACATGACCACATTTTACAAAGGTTGTGCCAAAACGCAGCATTTGTTTCTAGTTTTTGACAAAACTGCACCCATAAGGAATCATTAGTTTGCCTAACAACCATGGCATTCACTTAATTACCATTGCAAAAAAGATCATAAACTCAGGTTGGTTGTGCGATTGACAAATTTTACTACCGTTATGAGTTACAGTGGTGATGGGCAGGTTCCACTGTACTCATAACTCATAACTCAGGGGCTGCCTATATTTCAGATCCCTATTGAAT